CCCCCCCCCCCCCCTCTTCCTTCTCCTCGTTGCCGCACTTGGTCGTGGGATCATCGCAGTGGCTATCGTTCGCGGGCTTGTGGCAGGTGCTCGCTACGTGCTTGCTCCCCGGCACGGGGGGGTGACGGGGGCCGAGCCGCTTGAGCAGATCCGCGAGATTCCTCGCCGGCGAAGGGGGTTGACCTGGGCCAACCCTCTTGAGCTGGTCCGCGAGATTCCTCGCCGGCGGACTAGGTTGACCGGGGCCAACCCTCTTGATCAGGTCCGCGAGATTCCGGTTCGTGAGTCCATGGCGCCCATCATTCCGGCTCACTAGCCTGCCCAGGCACCACCGTCTTCGCCCGCCGCCCAGGCGCCGCCGGCTCTGTCGATGCGCCTTCGTTCTTCATCTCGCGTTGCCGGAGGTGAGTTAGCCACCTAGTCTCCAGTCTCATCGTGTTGGTATCCGTGTGCCTTGATCGGTACTCTTTTAGGCACGCGCCACTCTCCTGCGTTGGTAGCTAGCTCTGTTGTGACGTATACAGATGCACTCACCGAGTCGGGTTGCGGGTCAGCCTCCCCACGAAAGGTCGACACATGACGTGCACACAGGATCTCATAGTCCAGCAGACGCTTTATTGGAATTGTGGGCACATCTCTTACGTATTTTATAGAAAGACAATACCTGATGTGTACAGTAGTTCAACTAACACCAACGGCCGTAGGTACTCTGTGAGCATTTTTTTTTTGCGCCCCGCAGTCTTCACGGGCCGGATCCATTCTGCCCTTGATCAAATTCTAAACGGCTCGCCTAATACCCCCCGTCTATCCGGCATCTCTGAAATTGTTGAGTATGCTAAAGGTGGCGGCTGATGCTGCTTCTATCATCGCTGTCTTGTGTTTTGAATGAAGGCCTCGGCAGCGGCGATTTATGCAGCAGCAGCAGCAGCAGCAGCAGCAGCAGGAACGACGACCATGCGTCGCGGCGGCCGGCGCGCGCTCGTAAGGGTAGCTTGAACAGTAGCCGTAGTGCGAGCGTTGGTAGTGTATCATCTCGAACGAGGAGTAAGGCGCCCACGTGTGCTATTAGTGCGAGTACGGACTCAGGTAGGACGGTCCTAGGCGGTAGAGTGACTAGGTCCTGTGTGCGAGCGGGCAAGGTGAGACTGTGCACGCACACCATCAGATAGATTGCCAGAGTACGTCAGGCATAGTCTATTTACAAGTAGGTGATTGGTAGGATGAATGTTGATGAAAGCTTAATGCGCTGTTTTCGGTGTTGGTGTTTCTGCTGGTGTGGAGAAAACGCAAAAAAAAAAAGTGAACGAGAGCGGGTTGCCTTGTTTGTTGGCGTTGGTGTGTTGTTGAATGATACTGTTGTTCTGGTGTTGGTGTTGGCGTTGTTTGGTGCAGGTGTTTTTTTCGTTGAGTGATTGTGGTGCTGTTGATTGTTGCTGTTGGTGTGGTGCAGTTGTTGGTATTGTTTGTTGGTGGTGGCGCTGTTACATGTTGGTGGTATTTTGAACTGGTTGCTGTTGTTTGTTTCGATGTGCGATTTGTTTGAGAGAGGTGTCTGATCAGCACCTCTCTGCTTCAACCCGGTATCACATTTATCCTCAAAAGACGTGGGGTAACCAGGTTACGAATGAAATGATAGGTTTTCTGTCTCTAAATTCTTCTTCCTCGAGCCTCTCTGTTGCTTTGTTTCTTGTGTGGAAAACGGCAGGGGCTGTGGACTGTGGACAACAAGATTTGCAACTGGACTTCTGGGCCGCCACAAACTGATTTGTGGTTTGTTGTGAACACATATTTTTCGAAAAGCCGAGAGGCCTCCTTTTGACGCCAACTCTCACACAATCTGACATTTGGAAGGATTCGGTGTATTCATGATGTTTCTCTACATGACAATAGTGTACATAGTTCATGATGAAACTATCGTGTGAAACCATTATCTCGATCCATCCACGGGTAATAACAAAATTTTGAAATTCAAGTGTCTACAGAAGGGATAAATAAATTCACATTCATTCTAATTGTCGTCATCTTTGGAAACGGACAAATCTACGGTAACTTGCACCATAATAACGAACTTGATATTATTTACAGCAGATAATACATACAACTACACTACGTACAGTACATATATTGACTTTCATAGAACAAGCTTATTGTTTGCATGTTTTACAACGCCCCTTCATACAGCAGAATGTTCTGTTTACTACATGTTTTTACAACGTACCTCCGTACGTCTATCTATGAAGATTTTTTTATTTAGTTACGTAATTATCCTAATAAATACAAAGAGATTACATGTCCAGCAGACAATTAATTTGTTGAGATGTTTTTACTCTACTTGAGGGGTGGATGCCAATGGCTATTGTTCACTCTTGCGAAGCGTCAACTGTTCTTCTTTTTGTTGTTGGCCACATATAAGATAGCTTATACATCGGTGTTCACTACTTTACTGTTGCATAGGCCACATCCATGATGGCTCATAACTAATCCATGTCAACTGCTTTCTCTTGAAATATTGGCC